CACCAGACAGCAGAGCTAGATGCAGATTGGCAGGTACGTCTTGACCTTCCCCGCTACGATGCAGCATTGTGGTTATGGACGAGAGCTCGACACGGGCTCCCCAGTTGGCTTCGATCCCAGACGATGTTCCCCCACCCGTCCCCCCCCCCCCAAAAAAAAACGATCCCTCCCTACGTCTTTCCCACAGTCAAGAGCAAGTGTTTCCTCCCCGACGGCACCCGTTGCTGCGCGAAGCCTGGCCACAGCTGCACGCGGAGGATTGTCAACTCAGCAAATGCACCAGGCGCGGCGGGGCACAGGATCATTGGCCGTGCCGCTCGCCACCTTTTACGTGCGAGTGAAGTGTCATGTGAGGTGTTTGACATGAAAGATGCCTCGAAAGAAATTGGACGTGCTGTACATGACTTAGAACCCCATCTGATGATATATGTGTACGATGTTCGAGCCCGTTATCATGCATATCAATGGTGGTAGCAGATGCGGACCATGCATATGAACAATGTAGTTCCACGTTGATTGGGGAAGCTTGGAGTGAAGTATCAAAAGAAATACCCAAACGACTAGGAACGAATGCCGCGTTGGCCATACGTGGAAAAGAAAACAAAACAAAAACATTCAAATCAGGAACACCACCCAACTATTATGAAGTATCCATTTCAGATATAGCGTCTACTATGTTAGCTTATTGTTGGTTATCGTTGGTCGCGATTGGTGGGATTGTGTATGAGTTGAGAGGTTTACCGATTGGTGGTGTACTTTCAGGGGTGGCTCTATCAATATTATTAGCTTGGTTTGAACTTCGAGCACGCAAAGCTCCTGAACGATTTCGCAGTATGGGTTTCCAAGTATCACCGACATCCGGAAAAGTGGAGATTAGACAGCGTCGTTATGTGGATGACATACTAGGTATAAGCAAAGTGTACTGCAGGCAGTTTGTCTACCTGTATCTGTCCCGAGTATACCAGGTCAAGCTCTCTCCTGCCTCCAACCTTGAAGATCCCCTGACCCCCATGTACGCGGTTGGATTTGGACCTCTTGGCCGTTGGAGAACAGGATATCTATTCTACCAAAAAATGAGAATCGGGCGTGGCTCTTGAGAGGATGCACGGACGTTCGGCCAAAAACCAACCTACTTCTTTGGCCAGGACGACCACCTCGGGGTTTCAACATGGCGGTCTCGCTCTTGACGGGCCGCTTGGCTCGGGCCCAATACCTTGCACTACCGATCCAGGTCACATTGTCTTGGGTCCTGGAACTTATTTTGGAGATGTTTGTCCTGGGATATCCAGTGTCGATTCTAGTGGCGGCGCTTCACGCATGCCCCTGGTCCGTGGCCATCCAGAAGGCTCGAGTGATCGTGAGGTGCCGGTCCAAGTTCTTCCTTCCCTACTACGAGATGGGCGGGGGTGGTCAGCGTCAATCATGGGTGAAGACGAACAGTGGTCGGGACAGCGGGGGAAAAGCGCCAGGCTTTTCCTTCTATTATCGAGCTCCTGATCCTCGCCCCCGTGACCGCAGTGAGGACCGTGACCGAGACCGAGATCGCGACCGTGATCGCGACCGCAAGTACAGTCCCGAACGGCGGGACCGTGACGACCGAGGAGAAGGGCGTGACTACCTGGTACACAGGGAGGCACGAGACTTTCGTGATTTTCGTGATGTCCGCGGTCTCAGTGACTATCGTGATAAACGGGACTACCACAGCCGAGATGGCCCTGACTACCGCGATCGCTATGAGGATCGCCACCGGAGCTCAGGCAAGGACAACCGCGGGCATGGTTCCCCGCGGGCGAGGTCTCGCTCGCCAGGCCGCTACGACGATCACGTTCAACGACTTCGGGAGGAACTGGCAGCAGTGGACCCCGAGTTCAAGGCGACCCTCAAGGACAAGCAGGGCAGGATTGAGGAGATGAAACTGCGCAAGCAGAGTGAGTATGTGGCTCAGGCGATGAAGTCCAGCTTCGGGGACAAACTCTCGAAGCTGCTGGAGTCTGCGGACGCCGATGGCAAGGCAAAACTCAAAGAGAAGGAATGCGATCGTGAGGCGAGTCCGACTCCTGTGGCTCAAGCACCTGACAGTGCGGCGCTCATGAAACGTCCTGAGTTGGGATGGTTACAGTCTTTGGTTGGTGCCAAGAAGCAGCTACCGAACCGTCTCACATGGGCACAGGCAGCTCAGGTCCTGGAGGAGAGGATGTCGGACAAGATGGTGGTAGCCCAAGTCAACAAGTGCATCCGGGCCCACTTCCCGAAGCGGGCGGTGCCCGTTGCGAAGGCCCGCAGGATCAACCTCACCCTCGGCATCATCAATGGGAGCGCGCTCTGAGAATCCTCTCTTTGGGAACCCGATTCAGACTCGGCAGTCGGAGAACAGTACCAGAACAAGTATGTGGTGAGTTCGGATAGATCTTCTTGTGAGTTGACCGTGGTCGGATTCGTGTTTGGCTTTCTTCCGGTATGTCTAATAGGGTTGTTGTTTCCTGTCCAGGAGTGGAGAATGCTAGCTGTGTTGAAAGCGTACATCACTCTCCACTGGACACATGTGAGGGAAGCAGGATCCCTCCAGGAGATAGCAAATATGTTCTCCTTGCCGTTCTCGATAGCTAACACCCAGGAGCAAGCAATCCTCCGTCATGTGATTACGGGCCTGGTTGGGGCCTCGATTCCAGTGATGGCAGGACAGCTCCCCTTAGGAAGTGCGGTCACTCTCCTCCCGAAGCTTGCGTCCCCGCCCCCCCCCCCGAAGTACACGACGTAAGACAAGACAGGTTTGTGATGCGGCTTCAGAGACGTGCATTTAACAGGACTGTGGCGGCGGATGCCTAGCCTTCCAGTGTGCGCAATGACCCGACATGCGGCGGCCACCCTGAGAGAGGAAGCTTGCATCTCCAGGAGAGGCGTGCCCAGGGGTCCCTATCTCCCACCTCCATCTCTCATCATCCTCCCCCATCTGTCATAATTCCCCTTCGTTTTCCCCTTCACACACACACAAGCCGAGCTCTTTCCCCCTCTTTCCTGGAATTCACGCTAGTAGGTCTCGCAAGCTGTACCTTGGAGACGAGGGCTCAACTATCAGGTGCTCTCAGAGCCTAGGCGCATGAGTGAAGGATGTAGGTCTCGCAAGCTGTGCCTTGGAGACGAACCCCGATCCGTGGGCATGTGTTTGTTGTTTGACGTTCCTAGTGACTTCTGAACCCTAGGGTTGACGACCCGAGCAGGTCAGCACCTTGCACTGCGTGGCCTTTAGACTCCTGTGGGTGCCGCACTGCCCAACTGTGTAGTATGGCGAGGAGTTTGTCCCCATCCCCTCTCCTGACCTCCCCCCCCGCCCCCTCTCCGTTAGCCAGACAGTGTCGGGTGCCGACAACCAGCTCCTGATCTTCAAGGCGCGCGTTGGGCCTCTCTCTCTCTCTCTGTCTCTCTTTTTTTTTGTCTCTCTCTCTTTCTCTCTCTCTCTCTCTCTCTCTCTCTCTCTCTCTCTCTCTTTCCCACCCGAGAGTACTGCTGCTTTCCTTTCTTTCCATTCCCATCTCCATAATGTTTCGGACCAGACCCTCAGCTGAGGGTGCCGATCGCCCACGACACGTTCACAGCGATACGGCATGGCGTCAGCCTGCTAGACGCAGGCTCTCAGGAGGGACTGGTGTGTGCAGAAAGGGATCTCTCTCTCTCTCTCTCTCTCTCGAAGTGTACGCAGGAAGGGGACTCTCTCTTTCTCTCTCTCTCTCTCTCCCTCTCTCGCTCTCCCTCTCGCTCTCCCTCTCACTCCCCGCGTTCCTACCTCTTCCCCCCAGCCTTCCCCGCTCTGCCTCCCCTGCCCCGACTTCTCTGCCCTGCCCCCCTCCCTCCTTCCTCCTTCTCCCCCATCCTCCCCGTCGCTCCGCCCCTCCCTCCCCTCTCTCCCCTCCCTCCCTCCCTCCTTCCTCCTTTCCCTCCCTCCCTCCCTCCCTCCCTCCCTCCCCCCCCTCCCCTCCCTCCCCTCCCTCCCCTCCCTTCCTGCCTCTCCCTCCTCCCCTGCCCCCCTCCCTCCTCCGGGCACGTTTGCCCGTGTGCTCGCAGACGTGGCCCCAATGCTCCCGGCCTGGCACGGCAGGGCCCCCGCGGGAAGAACGCGCGGCACGGGCGCCCGGGGGCGTTTTCGGGCCAGTTGGGGGCGATCTTGGGTCGCCTCGGGGTTGGCTTCCGTCTGGGCGACTCGTGGGTGTTTGTGGGCTCTTCTCGGACCCTCCCGAGTCCACCTCGGAGCCATCCTGAGCTAAAACATGGAGGACGCCAGTCATGTACGAAACCCTTCTGAATTTTCGGCCGTCTGGAGCTTTCCATGGACTACCTGGGAGTCTCCTGGAGCAGACTTTGGGAATCCAAAGTCCAGAGTACAGCAGCGCCAAGAGAACGCAGCGAGAGAAATACTCCCCCTTTCCCCTCCCCTCTCCAGAGCGTCGGAGGTCTACAGCGATTATCCACGTAGGGCCCGTCTGGGGGTCTTTTCAGAGAGGCCTGTGCGGAAAAAAAGGCCCACGACTTCCAAAAACCTCGCCTCGATGCTGGGAACTCTCCTCCTCCTCCTCCTCCTCCTCCTCCTCCTCCTCCTCCTCCTCCTCCCTCCTGCTCCTCCTCCTCCTCCTCCCTCCTCCTGCTCCTCCTGCTCCTCCTATCCCTCCTCCTCCTCCTCCTCCTCCTCCCCTCCTCCTTTTCCTCCTCCTCCTGCTCCTGCTCCTCCTGCTCCTCCTCTCCTCCTCCTCCTCCCTCCTCCTCCTCCTCCTCCTCTCCTCCTCCTCCTCTTCCTCCTCCTCCTGATCTCCTTATCCTCCTCATCCTGCTCATCCTGCCTGTCCTGCTCCCTCCTCCTCCCTCCTCCCTCCTCCTCCTCCCCTCCTCCCTCCTCCTCCTCCTCCTCCTCCCCTCCTCCTCCTCTCCCTCCTCCTCCTCCCTCCTCCTCCTCCTCCTCCTCCTCCTCCTCCTCCTCCTCCTCCTCCTCCCCCGCCCCTGCCGCCGCCAAGTCCGCGGGGAAGCCCGTCAGCCCTGTCGCGCTGGAGCCCCGATCCTCCGCGAAGCCCATCAGCCCTGCTGCGCGGGAGCCCCGATCGGTCGGTTCGCCGGAGGCGGGGCCGCGGCCGGGGCAGGAGCAGCAGGGGGGGTGCAGGGGGAGGAGGGGCAGCAGCGGCAGCAGCAGGGGCTGGCTGGGGCAAGAGCACCAGCGGGGCCTCGGCCGGGGCAGCAGCAGCAGGAGGAGGGGCACCGAGACACAGTTCTTCGAGTGCCCATAGTATCCTCCCCCTCTCCTCCTCCCTCCTTCTCCCTCCTCCTCCTCCTCCTCCTCCTCCTCCTCCTCCTCCTCCTGCTCCCTCCTGCTCTCCTCTCCTCCTCCTCCTCTCCCTCCTCCTGCTCCTCCCTCCTCCTGCTCCTCCATCCTCCTGCTCCCCCCTCCTCCTCCACATCCTCCTCCTCCTCCTCCTCCTCCTCCTCCACATCCTCCTCCTCCTCCTCCTCCTCCTCCTCCTCTCCTCCTCCTCCTCCTCCTCCTCCTCCTCCTCCTCCTCCCCCTCCTCCTCCCTCCTGTCCTCCTGCTCCTCCTCCTCCTCCCTCCTCCCTCCTCTCCTCCTCTCCTCCTCATCCTCATCATCATCATCATCATCATCATCATCATCATCATCATCATCATCATCATCATCATCATCATCATCATCATCATCATCAATCTCCAAGGGGGGCGGCGCGCCGTAGCACCATTTTGGGGCTCTCGGATGCGCTTCGCCTCTCGGTTTCCTGCCGTCTTGTGGCGCTTCGGGGACACCAGTACAATTGTAGTGGGGACTCTGTTTGCGCTCATTCTGGCAGTGGTGGTGGTGACGAAGGGGATGTTTCCAATGGCGGCATCTTCGGCTTCGCCGACTTCCATGGAGATTTCTTTCATCTCCGCGGTAGCTACATCTGAGGCCACACGGGGCGTGTTGGCCACGTGGGAGGCTTCGGACCTCAGCTTGGAGATGTTGCAGGCTCATCATGGCTCGGAACTGCAGCAAATGGGGACTCCGATCGTCACTCGCGATAGATTCCAGTTGTTTGCAGATCCTCAGTTGGTTGCGACGCCGTCGTTGATGGTTATCCCGTGCATTTGTCCAGTCACGGGTTGCCGACAAGTTTTCGGCGGCTTGATCAGGGTGTATGGTGGTTGTTCAATTATGGGCGCAGTCAGTCGCAGGGGCGTTTTCGATGTGATGGCTTCCGGGGCGACGGTGGGCCAGCTCCCATGTTCTATTGTTGTCAGTATGACCAGGCGGACTGACGGAGCTAGCGCTGCGCGGTGCCCGACCATCACGGCTACGCTCAAGGAGTTGCCTGGGCACCAGCCGTGCGAGTGCAACCACAACGCGGACGAGGCACGCTTCCTGGTCAACGGGCGAGACCTGGTCGCACGGATTAGCCTGCAGGGACCCATTTCGGCGGCGCAGTTCATCGAGTCCGATGGGAGCGTGGACCTCATGGGCATGTGCGACCAGGCTACGGCGCGGCGTTGGCGGGTCTGTTTCGCTGGCGCTGTGGACGGCAGCGCGATGCGGAGCGCGGCCTTGGGCTTTCTCGCGGCGTTGGCCGTTTTGGACACGATTTCTCGCGAGCCAGCCCCATTCATCGGCGAGCCGCACAAGGCCTGCACCATGGGTGGCCACGTTGGGCTCTACTCGGGCTTCTTCGAACACGCCATGGAGTGGGGGACCTCTCGGTTGCTGTCTGAGCGGCCAATGAAAATTCGTGATGGCGAGCCCGTTTGCGAGGACTCGCTATTGGGCGAGGCGTTTACTCAACCGTGGGTGAATTTGAATATTGCCATGAGGTGGACTTTCGCGACGCCGTCCGCTGTCGCTGTTCATGCCGAAGCCGAGTTCTAGCGCGATTTCGGCGGCGGTGAGACAGTGGGCGGTGGCGGGAGGCCGCACCATATTAGACAGCGCGCAGCAGGGAGCTCCATTTTTTCTCATGTTTATTGCTGGCATCGGGCTTTTAAGAAGTGGGGCTCAAGCAGGGTGATCGGCGCGGGCAGTGGCGCTCGGGCAGTGGGCATGGGGCTTCTGCTGCGAGTGCTTCAGGCTTGGCCGGTTGCAAGGCTGGGCCTCTGGAGTTCATCGTTGCGAAGATGGGTGTGCCAGTTTTTCAGAGGTGCAGTTCCTTTTCGGCTCGTATCCGCCGCCATCAATAAGGTGGGCCTATATGTGTAGCAGTGGGGGCATTCTCTATTGGCGGGTTGTTTCCCGATTGGCATGGGCTTTATCGGCAGGCGGTTTGTGTTCCGCATGTTTTTGGTATTGTGTTGGTGGCGTGAGCAAGCGCGACAGGACAGTGGGCGGACAAAATATCGCAAGTTATATGATCGTTCCGAGAAAAAGCGTGTCAACTTTGATCATATTCCATCGATCTCCGAGGAGCTCCCCCTTCCCCCGTATTCCAATGTTGACTTGCATTATTTTGTCCTCCCGGACTTGGGGTGCTCGCTCGATGTCAACGTTGAAATGTAGGGGGCGGGGGCGTTTCGTCGAGGTGGCGTCGCAATGTAGGCGCAGCCGTGCACGGCCAGGAACAACTTGCAACATTTCGTCGTCCCACCGGAGGCTTGATCGACTGCAGTCTTGTGCGGGTTCAGCTTGCCCAATGTTCTCGGCTGGCATTGATTGGCGGCAGGTTATATCGTGGTCTCTTTATTTCGAGTGCGGCAGGTGTACCCATGGAGCCGGTGCGTTGGCTGAGCCTGGCCAGCGCAACGCAGACGTATTGCCGGTTATTTGTGGTGGCTTTGTGGCTGAGCCTGGCCAGCGCAAGGCAGACGTATTGTTGGTTTTATGGCTGCGTGGCTCCCTCTCGCCAGCGCGTATCCGGGCATACCGAGGTACATGAGCCGGCTGTAGCGGACAAGAAGGTGAAGGACGTGCGGGATGGGTTGCTGCCGCGTGCATGTGCTTAGTGAATGTATTGCCGGGGTTTTCTGCTCCTTCGACTTCGTGGGCGTGGGCATATGAGAATAGCGCAGGCCCGTGAGGTGTGGGATGGGCTTGGTCCTGGACATCCTGAACTCTTGAATTCCTCCTTCTCCTCCTACTCCTGCGCCTCCTCCTCCTGCTCCTCCTCCTCCTGCTCCTCCTCCTCCTCCTCGTCCCCCTACTCGTCCTCCTCCTCCTCCTCCTCCTCTCCTCCTCCTCCTCCTCCTCCTCCTCCTCCTCCCCTTCCTCCCCTCCTCCTCCTCCTCGTCCTCGTCCCCCTCCTCCTCCTCCTCGCCTCCTCCTCCTCGCTCCCTCCTCCTCCTCCGTCCTCCTCTTCCTCTTCCCCCTCCTCCCCGTCCTTCCTTCCCCGTCCTCCTCGTCCTCGTCAATCTCCTCCTCCTCCTCCTCCTTCTTCTCCTCCCTCCACCTCCTCCTCCTTCTCTCTCCTCCTCCTCCTCCTCCTCCTCCTCCTCCTCCTCCTCCCCTCCTCTCCCCTCTCCTCCTCGTCCTCCTCCTCCTCCTCCTCCTCCTCCTCCTCCCTCCTCTCCTCCTCCTCCTCCCCTCTCCTCCTCGTCCTCCTCCTCCTCCTCCCCTCTCTCCTCGCCTCCTCCTCCTCCTCCTCTCCTCCTCCTCCTCCTCCTCCTCCTCCTCCTCCTCCTCCTCCTCCTCCTCCTCTCCTCCTCCTCCTCCTCCTCCTCCTCCTCCTCCCTGCTCCTCCTCCTCCTCCTCTCCTCCTCCTCCTCCTCCTCCTCCTCCTCCCCCTCCTCCTCCTCCTCCTCCTCCTCATCCTCCTCCTCCTGCTCCTCCTCCTACGGTTTCTACGGTTTCCAGCATGAGGAATGTTCGAAGCGTATCGAATACAACTTGCAAGATGATAGTGTGCGGGCGGGCGGCGGCTCGCGCCAAGGCGCGGAGCGGGGCCTCCTCACACCCGCCGCCGCCGTTTAGCGGTCGCCGCCAGATTCGCTTGAGCTGTCGTCCCTGCCCCACTTTCGGGCGCAGTCATGCTTGCGCTCGAACTCACAGTATGGGTCGAGGGGGATATAAAATCCGAGAGCCTCTCGAGGGACCTCCCAAGTCCTAGGGCCGACCCTCGTCCTGGCCTCGACCCCTTCCCACATACATCGAGCGAGCAACTTGCACAGCTCAGCGGGGTATTCCTTCAACGCAGCTGTTCGGAACTCCCCCATCTCCCCACGGCCCAGGGCCTGACGATGCCGACCAGGATGGTTGCACCTCCCCCCCCCAGGCCCTTCTCGGACCTTTATCCCCAGAGAGGGAAGGTGGATGGTCAGAAACGTAGTAGGTTTCTCATACTCACAACCGTAGAGGCACTGAGCAACCGTCACCTTCTCGGCTCCTGGCAACGACAGGATATATCGAACCTCGTCCAGCACCCACGACGAGGGAGCCTGCGGTCGCCAATGGGCCTCGGTCGGGTGTTCCATAATAGCGGGGGTGTCGTGCCCCGCGCACGCCACCAAGAATCTACACATGGTTCTCAGCAGAACATTGCCGAGGTCCACTTGTCTCCTTTCCTTACTCGTGAGGCATTCAATGCCCCAAGGGAGCTCCCTGGATCTCACCGGCCTGGGACCCCTGCCGTTGGCCAGACTGTTGAACCTGGCCGCGCTCCACGTCTCACACGGGGGGCCCCCGAGCAGGCCGACAACCGAGAACTCCCGCACAAGTTTCAGCCAGTGCTCGATGGTGCCTTCGACGCTGAGGTCCCCCAACACTGGCGCGTTGGCCACGTCCAGGCTCAGGGTCCAGACGGGCCTGTCCTGGGGGGCCTGGGCCTGGAAATATTCAATCCAATCCTGCAGGTCCCCCAACCGACGTCTACCCGAGAACAAATGCAGGATAAAGTAGTACTGGAACCTACTACGCTCTGGCCGTCCTAAAAAAAAGCCTGAGCATCCTGCTGAGCCTCCACGACGCTGGGGGGCTCGACGGGGTCGCACATCTCAGGATCCTGGGGCGGGATCAGTGGGGTCGCCGACCTCACGGCGGGGATCAGGGCCTTCTCCTGGTAGAGGCCTCGCTGCCGAAGATCCTTGCTCTCCTGCGCGTCAAGCCTCTGAAACTCCAGAACCCGCTCCCCCCCATGGGCTTGAAAAAAACCCGAATCG